GGGGCGGGCCGGGGGTTCACCAGCCTGTCAGTCTCTGCGAGGCGGCTGCTGAGGGGGATGATGGTGACAACGGCTCTCGTGGCTCCCTGTGGCCTGCTCAGCCCTCCCTCTGCTCTTTCCCCTGGCTCCAGATGTGAAGTTTGATGCCATCAGTGGTGACTACTACCCTATCCTCTACTTCAACGACTACTGGAACCTGCAGAAGGACTATTTCCCCATCAACGAGACCCTGCAGCGCCTGCCCTTCCGCCTCTCCTTCTGCCCGCTCTCCCTGTGGCGCTGGCAACTCTACGCTGCCCAGAGCACCAAATCCCCCTGGAATTTCCTGGGAGAGGACCTCTATGAGCAGTCAGATGAGGAGCAGGACTCTGTGAAAGTGAGAGCCACTTGCTGGCCTTCTCTTTTCCTGGCTGCAGCTCCTGCTCACCCCCGTAGATTGGGATCCTAGCTTCACTGGAAGAGTGTTTGATGCCCGTTTTTTGTTGTGATTGCTCCTTATTAATTACCTTTGCAATACAAAGAGGGAGGGGTACACAGGCACCTGCCTGCTCTCCCTCTTGACTACACAGGGAGAAGGGAGCTTGGAGGACATAACGATAGAGAGCAATTAAACCCCTTGTCCTCCTCCGTGCTCCATGGCTGGCTGGGCTTCACTGGAAGAGTGTTTGATGCCCGTTTTTTGTTGTGATTGCTCCTTATTAATTACCTTTGCAATACAAAGAGGGAGGGGTACACAGGCACCTGCCTGCTCTCCCTCTTGACTACACAGGGAGAAGGGAGCTTGGAGGACATAACGATAGAGAGCAATTAAACCCCTTGTCCTCCTCCGTGCTCCATGGCTGGCTGGATCCTCCTGGATCTTCCCTGTTCACCCTAGCATGCCAGGGCGTTGGGCAGCGGGAGGGTGGGGCAGAGCCTCAGAGAGGTTTTTGCTGCCTGTTCCAGGTTGCTCTTCTGGAGACGAACCCCTACCTGCTGGCGTTGACCATCATCGTCTCCATTGTGCACAGCATCTTTGAGTTCTTGGCCTTCAAAAATGGTGAGTGCCGCAGTGGGACCTCGGGGATTCATGGAGAGGGGAAGGATGCGAAGGTGGTGGCATGACCTAAAACCCTCTCCCCGCTCCTGCCTCCACCTTGTATTGTCCTCACGGTGGTGGTGGAGCCGACATCCTCGTGCTGCGGCACAGTCTCGGCCGGCTGAACACCAAGCGCTGGCACCAGCCCTCCTCTCCCCAGCAACCATAGCTGAATCCAACTGCATCCTGGGCAGGCTGTGGCTGCTGTGGTGCATGTCGAGGCATCCGGTACTCCTTGGCCACGCTCCTCTGTGCTGCAGGGCCAACTTTGAGGGCAGAAAGACAGAAATTTGTGGTTTTCTGGGTCCCCACTGCTCGTGCTGATGCCAGACGGTGCTTTGCGGTGTCTGCTTAGCTCTGGCGATTGCACTGCTGCCTCCTCTCTCTTTGCTGAGGCATGTGCCACAGTAGCTCTCTGGATCCTCCGGCACGTGGGGTTCCCCTTCCCCACCTGCAGGGTGACGGTTTGGGCCCCTTCCTGACAGACATCCAGTTTTGGAACAGCCGGCAATCTCTGGAAGGACTCTCTGTCCGCTCCGTCTTCTTTGGCGTCTTCCAGTCCCTCGTCGTCCTCCTCTACATCTTGGACAATGAAACCAACTTTGTGGTGCAAGTCAGCGTCTTCATTGGGCTCCTCATTGATCTCTGGAAGATCACAAAGGTCATGGACGTCCGGGTAAGCAGTGGCGTGGGCATAGGGGCTTCTGGGGGTGCCCCCAGTCCTGCGCGGTGATGCCTTTCCCCTCTCTTTTGGCAGCTGGACCGTGAGAACAAGGTGGCAGGAGTGTTTCCCCGCGTAACCTTCAAAGACAAATCGACCTACATTGAGTCTTCCACGAAGGTGTACGACGATGTGAGTCGGGGGTGGCGAGTGCTGGGAACAGTGTAGTGCTGCCGAGCCCAGCTCCAGCCACCTGCTGGCTTTGCTGAACGCCTCGGCGTGTGTCTGCTCACTGCTTCTTCCCCAATTTCCCGGGGACTCATCCAGGGCAGGGCAGGCAGTGAAAAGGGTTGCCAGCACTGCCCAGCCCCTCCTTGATCCGAGGCTTGGGAGCCAGGGAAGCACTGGGCTGGTGCTTTGGCGCGTTCCTGGCTGATTTTTGGGTGTGGCTGCCTCCCCAGATGGCTTTCCGGTACCTCTCGTGGATTCTCTTCCCCTTGCTGGGCTGTTATGCCGTGTACAGCCTGCTCTACCTGGAGCACAAGGGCTGGTACTCATGGGTGCTGAGCATGCTCTACGGCTTCCTCCTGACCTTCGGTGAGTGCCATGCTTGCTGCCGGGAGACACCAAAAATCCCCCTGACAGAAGGAAGAGGAGGGAGGGGGCCCGGGTTGCACCCCGGGGTGCAGCTTTTCCTCTGGGGCTCCTTCCTGCTCTCCCTGGGCTCCTCTGTTTCTGGTTGTGGGGAGATCTCACTGGTACTGGCAGGGCTTCGTTACACAAACAAGGAGCTCCTCCTCCTGCAGGCTTCATCACCATGACTCCCCAACTCTTCATCAACTACAAGCTGAAGTCTGTCGCCCACCTGCCTTGGCGGATGCTGACCTACAAAGCCCTCAATACCTTCATCGATGACCTCTTTGCCTTTGTCATCAAGATGCCCATGATGTACAGGATAGGCTGCCTGCGGGATGGTATGGCCTGAGAGGGGTGTCCCGGGTGGGGTGGGGGGCCCCTCTGGCTCCCTCTTGATGTTTATGCGGGTGGTCCTGGCCCCTGGCGGTCCTTCCCTGCCCCTTCCACGTTGCACCCTGTGCCCTGCCTTCTGCTGCTTATGGCCCTGTTGCCCCCCGTGACATCTCCAGGGTTTGGGGAGACCCACTTGTACCCCACCCGCCTTCAACCCTCTCTTCCTCCCTGTCCAGACGTCGTCTTCTTCATTTACCTCTACCAACGCTGGATCTACCGCGTGGACCTCACACGTGTCAACGAATTTGGCGTCAGTGGGGAGGACCAGGTCTCCCCCCGA